GGGAGCTAAGGGATTGTCCATACTGGGGCGGTGCATCGCTGGTGGGAGATATCTGTTTGAGGGAAAATACCGCTAGCCGACGTCCGTCGGCGCCGGATCTCACCGTCTAGTGGGGGACGATTACAGCCAACTCCCGATTAAAAAACATGTACTTCACTTAAGGGACTAATGACCTTGGCCGTTGACACCCGGAAGCACTAATAAATCATTCAATAAAAATGCAACTCGTATCTGAGCATTTCCTGAGTCAGTCACCCCCGGCAGGTTCCGTTTTCCCAACCTTGCGGAAGGCAGACACTTGCCACTTACTGCGACGACTGTCAGGGCCCACGACCGCTAATACAGATGGCAGAAAAAGAAAAGATACCATTATCTCCAAGCGTAGCTGTCGACAAAAAGCTAATTTTCGAATGCTGCAAAGTTTTCAAGCGCAGTTAAAACAGTGCGCGGCTGCTGTCTGCCTATTGTGAAATGTTTTTGCGCGAGTTTGCTTGGACCCCTTATTCTCGTACACGAGTAACTGCAAAAGTTGTGTAACTCCTAATCTAGCATGTCGAATTCAAAAATATTTTGTGGGGACGTTTTGTTTGCAGTTATCACAACTCGTGGTTTCAATTTCAAGCGGGGAAGTTTGGAGATCGTGTGGACTGCTGCATCGACATTGATATTAGAAGGGATCAAAAAAACCCACAATTCAGACTACGAATTCCATCCCGCCATTCTCTGCGAACTAATTTAGGATTCATTCATCAAGCAAATTTCCGGCATGACTGGGATCGAACTCATGACTTCCCACCCATCGGCACGTTCAAACGTAATTTGCTTATGCTCACCGCCACCATTCCAAGAGTGCGGTCTTATTTGCATTTTCCTCGTTTGAAATGTATTCCGTCTTGAGTCAGGCATCTCCGATGCAATAAAACCGTCCATTAGTAATCGTAGAATCGTTGCAATAACAATTTTATTTATACTTTTTATTTATTTATTTATTTATTTATTTATTTAATAGGTAATTATTACAAGCAAATTAGCTTACTTGATCCTATGTGGCTAGGTCGAAGGTCTTTAAGCCATTACAATACCTACATCCTTTCGCGTTCTAATCTTTCGAATTCTGGTATTCACCCCAAATGGTCTCTCCATCTCATCAAAGCCGCGGAAAAGAGACCATAAGGTACGGCTCAGGAAAAAACTCCTGAAGGGGGAAAAACCTGCCGTCAGAAGCCGAATTTTATTTATACTCAACTCTAACAACCTGTTCAGGACAGCATACGGGTGACGCTTATACGGGTGACGCCATTCAAAAAATTATTGTATTTTTACACAAATAGCATCCTATGTGACTGGTGACACGCATCATTTCTTACATTAAATTCAGTACCAACATGGCTCAACAATCGCCGTTTCTCAGGAAGTGCATTGGAAGATTTGTTCGAAATTCCAATGAAAAAATGATAATCGCATTCATTTTGAAGTTTAAATTTCCTGACACTCTTGTGGAAAATGGAAAAGATGTTTCATCGCACCACACGGATAATAAAACAATGTTTGAGTAAGGGAGTTTTAAATTTAATAAATGCCACTATGGTTGAAATATGGTGCTAATAAACTAGTTGAAATGAACGGGAAGTTCTAAGCGAAATTAGATGTATTCTAATTACATTTAGAGAGAGAGACAGAGAGAGAGAGAGAGAGATTTTTAAGTGGCAGCACTCTCATTATTGTGTCCAAGATCACAAATACAATAGAACAAAAGCATGGCGAATGACTTGTGATATTACAACTCATTAAGTCGTTATAAATTGAATTAATTTTATCGTCTACAAAATTTAAGCTATATAAAGTACGAAATAATTACATACTTGGCTCAAACCGGTATGAGTTACTATATTTCACTCCCTGCAAAAGTAAACTCTATATTACTTCTCAAAACATTGAAATATCGCACTTTAAACCCATTCATACTTTTGTACAATTTTCAAAACAAAGATAATGAAAATAATACATACGCCAATAAAGCGGATTTAAAAGGAGAAGATAATGGAAAAACAAAGAAATCAAGTGGTTCTGAACTCGCTGAAAAACATTAAAAGAACAATTAATAAAGACTGATATGTGTCTATTTCATTTCAACTTAATGAGGAAACAGGTGTATTTGAACACGGTCAACAGCTTAAGAAGACACACTTCACAGTTGCTTAAATCTTTCAGTAGAGCGCGCCTCGGATTGTTTAGTTTCATTGCAGCTTTAAAGAAGGTCGGTTTAAATGACTTGGTAGTTTTCTCTTTCCGCCATGCAATACAGCGACACATTTGTCTTCGTCACATCTCCGTCTCTTCTCAAACGTAACGCACCAGGAGGCAATTTTTCAGGGATTCAGAAAATGGTAAATGGTTTAACAAGCAAAACAGTGAAGTTAATATGTGCAAATATAAGTTACGAAATTATATAAATGAAATATAACGAGTTAAAAAGACAAAACTAATTTGTAACTTATAGTTTTCAAATTTCTTCTGGCCCGAAATACAATATATTCTTCCATAGAATTCCATAATACATAAATTACGATGACAAGATAGGTTTATAAAAATAATTAATAAAAACCCAAGTAATAAATGAAGCAAACAGATTCTGCATTTTCGGCCTCGAAATAGAAAGTGTATTTTTCGACATTTTTGGGATGACTGATTTAGTAAATGTATTTCGACTCGGAACAGTAAATGCAGTTTCTGCTCTTGTAGTCGCAGAGTGTATATTTACTGTTCATGTCTTCCTTAATAATTCAAAACAGATAATTTTTCTCTTTTATCTTACTGTTCTAATAAATTAACTTTACAGGAATTATAATGAAATATAAGAGAAGATATTCTGTTACGATTTTTTCTTCACTTTTTGCAAGAAGTTAAGATGAAAAGATCTTATTATGCTGGCGGAATTCCTTCCTCTTTCTACTTCACAGCAAAGTTAAACTGCTGAAAAGTATTCACAGTTTACTTATCAAATGAACGCAGAAGCCCTTTAAAAATGCCGTAAAAGGCGGAGTTTAAAGACGATTGCGCTGAATGAAATAAACGTCGAAAAGATGCAGAGTGAAGAATACGAGCAATATTTGCCACGCAAATACAGAAGTCAGAAAGGAAATATTCCCACCCCCTTACCTGTCATCGCCCTAGACATTTTGCATCGCCTGGAGAGGCCGTCTCTGCAGCCGACCTAGCAGCGGGACGGGGGTGGGGGGTGCCGGGGCTGCTACTCCGGAATTGAGGACCGATCGGGCTTTCCTAAGGGGGGCAAGCGGGGGTCGGCGCGTTGGTGGGTAGCCGGGGCTACCCGCATCCGGGTGGTGTTTTTGGCCCGGCAAACCCATGGAAAATAGCCGCAACCGCCCGCACTCGCCGCCCCGCCCTGCCCGGGCTCCGCGAAGCCGCCCGCCCCTGCATCCCCCCACCCGCCCCACAGTCGGCCCCGCCCCCGCCCCCGCCGATGGCTCTTTCCCAGCTGGCGAGCGCAGGTGACCCTGAAACATCATCGCCGCAAAGAACTCGGTTAGCCACGGCTGCCGCCCTACGCCTCGCCCTCCGCCTCGCCCTCCGCTCGCACCTCCGCTCGCCCTCCGCCTCGCCCTTCCGCCTCGCCCTCCGCTCGCCCTCCGCTCGCCCCTCCGCTCGCCCTCCGCTCGGCCCTCCGCCCCTCGCCCCTCGCCTCGCCCTCCGCTCGCCCCTCCGCTCGCGCCTCGCCCTCGCCCTCCGCTCGCCCCTCCGCTCGCCCTCCGCTCGCCCCTCCGCTCGCCCTCCGCTCGCCCTCCGCTCGCCCTCCGCTCGCCCTCCGCGCCGCCCTCCGCTCGCCCTCCGCCTCGCCCTCCGGCTCGCCATCCGTCGCCCTCCGCTCGCCCTCCGCTCGCCCCTCCGCTACGCCCTTCGCTCGCCCTCGCTTCGGCCCTCCGCCCTCGCCCTCCGCTCGCCCTCGCTCGCCCTCCGACTCGCCCTCGCTCGCCCTCCGCTCGCCCTCCGCTCCTGCACCTCCGCTTCGGCCCCCGCCTCCGCCCTCCGCTCGCCCTTCCGCCTCGCCCTCCGCTTCCGCCCTCCGCTCGCCCTCCGGCTCGCCTCCGCTCGCCCTCCGCCTCGCCCTTCCCGCTCGCCCTCCGCTGCCCTCCGCTCGCCCTCCGCTCGCCCTCCGCTCGCCCATCCGCTCGCCCTCCGCTTCGCCCTCCGCTCGCCCTCCGCTCGCCCTCCGCTCGCCCTCCGCCCTCGCCCTCCGCTCGCCCTCCGCCGCTCCTCCGCTCCGCCCTTCCGCTCGCCCTCCCGCTCCCCTCCGCTCGCCCTAACCGCCTCGCCCCTCGCTTCGCCCTCCCGCCTCGCCCTCCGCTCGCCCTCGCTCGCCCTCCTGCCTCCCCTCCGCTCGCCCTCCGCTCGCCCTCCGCCTCGCCCTCCGCTCGGCCCTCCCGCTCGCCCTCCGCTCGCCCTCCGCTACGCCCTCCGCCTTCGCCCTCCGGCTCGCCCTCCGCTACGCCCCTCCGCTCGTCCCGCCGCCTTCGCCCCTTCGCTCGCCCTCCGCTCGCCCCATCCGCTCGCCCCCGCTCGCCCCCCCTCCGCTCGCCCTCCGCTTCGCCCTCCGCTCGCCCTCCGCTCGCCCTCCGCTCGCCCTCCGCTCAGCCATTCGCGCTCGCCCCCGGCGCCCTCCGCTCCCCTCCGACTCGGCCTCGCTCGCCCCCTCGCTCGCCCTCGCTCGGCCCCCTCCGCTCGCCCTCCGCTCGCGCCTCCGCTCGCCCTCCGCTCGCACCTCC